GCTCTGTTTAGAGTTGGGAGAAATCAGGAATAAGAAGTTTATTACTGCAGTATACACCACTGAATAATTATTTGGAGCTTATTTAATAATAAAAGTTTCAATGCATTCTATGTGGCTTTGGCTATATTAATTTAATGGATTTATTGTAGTGCTTGATATAACTTAAGCAAAGTTAAATTAACATAAATTCAGGCCTAGAAAGTCATCTTGTAAACATGTTCACTAATTTGATTTTAATTGGAAGCTTAAAATGAAATTCTATTTGTAATCTGAAAGGAAAAAAAAGGTGAATTCACAGTTACAAGGGACATGGTTCCTTGTCACATAGTCACTTGTACCAAATCATTATCCTGTATGCATATTCCAAAAGAATGCTTTAAACATAGAAAGCTTTTCTTTCTTTTTTTGAGTTACAATCTTGAAAGATTCTATAAGCAACTTTTCCCAACAGTTTTATTGGCAAGTAATTTACATATCATAATTTAATAGTTCAATCATTCAATAATATCAAGGAGAATTGTACAATCACCCCCACATCAATTTTAGAGCATTCCCATCCCCCACCATGGTTATATCACCTTTAAGATAATTTTTTTAATGATGCAGGAAGGAAGCATCAAAAGCAGATGGAGGGGCTAAACTAATGACACTACCAATGTAACCCAACTACTCATTGGGTTACTAACCGTAAGGTCAGCAGTTTGAAACCACCAACCAGCTCCTAGTGATAAGTGACAGGATAGGATTTTCCATTCCTGTGAAGATTTGCGTTCTTAAGAGACTCAGAGAGGCAGTTCCATCGTGTCCTATAGGTCCCTGTGAGTCAGCATTGATTTGGTAGCAGTGGAAGTGATGCCCTAAAGGGATGATTGACAATATTCTCTAATATACAAGAACATAAAATGACAAGTGAACCAAGACATATATAAACTGGAGATACAAAAATGTATTTGGGGACACTTAAATCTAGCCCCAATGTAAACAAAATTAGTCCTTATGCTTGATGCTAATCCTCATGAAGATATCACTGAAATATGGCTATAGCAAAATGTAGCGAAGAAACTAGATGGTGCTTGGTTATCAGAAAGAA